ACTGTTCTAACTTACTTAATATTTACGAAGTAATGTGACACTCATGAGCATAAACTATTTGACTTATATTCTTTTTAAATATTTATTTTACTTTTATTGGAAAGATAGATTTACTGAGAAAAGGAAAGACAGAAAGATCTTCCATCTGCTGTTTTTTTTCCCCAAGTGACATGTCTTCGTCCATATCTCCCATGCTAGTGCAGGGTCCCAAGGCTTTGGGTCATCCTTGGTTGCTTTTCAAAGCCAGCAGGGAGCTGGACAGGAATTGGACCAGCTGGAACATGACCCAATGCCCATATGGTATCCCAGCACATGCAAGGCAAGGATTTACCCACTGAGCCACTGTGCTGGGGCCCCGACTTCTGTTCTTGGATATTATATTTTTTCCCCTGGATTTGTGCTGTTCAAAAGCTGCATGCATTGTTTTTGCAGTTTTTAGAATAAAATAAAGTTGTGACAAAAAACAGTAAGTATTAACATCTTTGGTGGCTGTAAATATGTATTATGATATGACCTAAAATTTTAATTAGATTTACGAAACCACCATTTATGAGTGAGTTTATTATTTTTAATTTTTAAGTTCTACTGCTTCATCTTGTCTGTGTGTTCTAAAGTGTGAAAGGAGAGTGTCCACACTAGGACTTCCGTTTCAGTTCACAGTTTCCTAGCTGTGAGTTCTCTGTGAGCCTCAGTGTTTCAGAACTGCAGCATCATGATCTGATATTCACTATTGGAAGGGAGTGTGTGTGTACACATTCACACACGTGTCCACTATGTATGTGTACATACAGACATACCCAAAACAACTGGTTTCATGTCTGGCATAGAATAAGTCTATATTAAATGATAGATGATGCACAATTAGAAGAGTAACTAAAAATTGTTGAAAGTATAATTAAAAGATATTTATTTTGGTACAATGTAAAAAAGTATGCATACAAGGGATTCAGAATATTGATGAAAATACATGTTATGAATAAGCTGTGCATGTATGTAAATTTTTTTGTACCAAAATAAACTTAATTTTGAATTATTTTCCCCTCAACTTCTTGAAATACCTTCACATACTCTGTTTAGATAATGTTTGGTAGAGAAACAATAATCAGAATTTTTTTTGTAGGTAATAAGTATAGTGAAAAGAAATCAAATTTAGAGTTTACAAAGCTTTATGGATAGCTAATGTTCTATAATATGAATGGCCTACCTAGAGTGTATTTGAAAAAGTTACATAAAAAATAAAATAAATTCAATGCCTGAAGCACTTTTTCTCATAATTGGTTCTTTCTCTCGAGGAACCTGAGAAATGAATTGGTCAAAGTATCTATGTTCAAATTTAATTTTAAAGCAAATGTGCTATTCTGCCTACCTTCGTTCCCTGTAATTTGTTTAACAAATATTATGGTCAGACATGATTATAGTTTCAAATGTTCAGTGATGAACAATAGCGATAAAGTGAATCCCTTTCAGTAGCTTATGCTCTACTTAACACCCCCAACAAACATCAGAAAGAAGAAAAAAAAAAAAAAACAAAGAATCCCAAACTGGCTACTTTCAGCTAATGTAATACCTTTGTCAAATAGCAGGCTAACGCAGTGGGAGACAGACAGCAGAGGCTCAGGGCATCTCAGCTCGGTGGGCAGGGTGGGCCTGTTTGCAGGCACCTGGGGACAAGTGCTGCACCGTATTGCTGAGTAGTTCCCTTACTGTCCCATCATACTTACCTCTCTGAGTTTTTTATTGTTTGATAATATGTACTCTTGTTCTTATGAATCTTAAAAGGTTCTTTGCATACTTATGTGATCATCAAAGGTAATCTCTTAGATACAATTTACATTTGGTAAAATGATAGCATAGGACAATTGGAAATATGATTAAATTGAGAAATTACATACAGTCTCTGTAAGAACACAGCTGTTGTAGAAAATGAGGTGTCTATATTTGCTTTCGAGCCACCCCGGATATGTTTTTGTGAAGTACATAATTGTAATGAACTGGAATGATTTTGTGCAGATATGGATGTTGAATCATCTTAACCGAGCATCCTCAGCGTTTGTCAGATTGCTCTCTGTGTTTAGTAAAATAAAACATCTCATGTTGTGGTGGAAACGGCAGCAAATCTTCTATTGCAGTAATGGGGCAACAGACTTCAAGTTCCTTGATGGAAATTATCCTGTGCTTTTTTTTTTTAAAATTTCAAACAAAATAAAAAACTCCATTGATGATAGTAGTTTTAGTCTTATCAGTGAGTAAAGCATTTTTTACAAATATGATGTTTAGTAAATCTAGTTCTTAGCAGTAACTAGTGTTGTGACAAATATGAATGTTAACGTCACTGCTTTTGCATATTTTACCTGTAAATTAATAGCATGTTTCTCCTGGTTTCCCAAGTCCAAATTATTTCTTCCATTGTAATGATATGTTTGGATATCAAAGGAAGTATTCTTATTATTTATTTTTCATTTCCTGCCTCACAGGGCCAAATTTGTGTTCTTGTTCCATTGGAGAGACGACACAAATTTTGGCACTTTCACAGGAATTCAGAAACCTTCTTGGATATGATTAAAGTCTGTATGAGATATTCTTGTAGAGCACAGTGCATTTGGCATTTGTTATTCCATCCAGTTGACTTTTGAGTTTTGAAAGGTTTCAATGTTGACTTAGAGGTGTTTCATACCGCCTGTCATTGCCAATGCTAACACAATGCTAATCTTCTACCGGCCATGTCTTCTGAAACATTCTGCAGCAAGATGAATGCTTAAAATTCATCTAGCACTTTTTGACCAGAGCTCTTCCAAGGATATATGTGTGTATATGGTTAGGCAACAGTATTTGTAGAGAATTTTTATTTTTTATTTTTTTTTGAGAATTTTAAAAATGTAGTGATGCAAAGAATGATTAATTTCACCATTAATGTGTAGCCATTGTTAATATTGTGTGATTTCATTCCAGTTCCTGTTTTATATGAGCACGTTTGCAAATATGAACCTGATACATAGTGCTAAATATATGTATGTGTGTATGAATGAATGAATGAAGATTTTACTAATGATAATATATATTTGTCTTAATTGAAAATCAATTGTATATATTTATGGGATACGAAGTGATGTTTTATTACATGTCTGCATTGTATAAAGTGAATATCAAGTTGCTTAATAAATCTAGAACTGCATTTTTTTATTACAGTGAATAGTTAAAATCTATTCCTTTAGCAATTTAAAAATTTCCCTCCTTCTTTCTTTTCTTCCTTTTGTCTTTCCTCCTGTCTTCCTTCCTTCCATCCTTTCTGACTCTGACAGAGGCAAAGAGATCTTCTGTCCACTATTTCACTCCCTAAGTGCCTGGAAGTCCAGGCTGAGCCAAGCCAGAGCTAGGAGCTTAGAACTCAGGCTGGGTCTCCCACCTGGGTGGCAAAGGTCCATTACTAGAGCCATTACTTGCTGCCTCCTAGGGTCCACATTAGCAAGAACCTGCAGTTATGAACAATGTTCCACTGTGGGATGCAGTTATCCCAAGCAGCATACTAAGCCTTGCCCCCTACTCTTAGCAATTTTGATGTTTAAAACAGACATTTTTAAAAGCTCTGGTCACTGTATTATGTAGTGCATTTCTAAAGCTTATTCCCTAAGTGGAATTTTGTACCCTTTGATCAACATTTCTGCTTTCTCCAGTATGCACTCCCTGGGCCTTGGGTAATCATCTTTTCCGCTGTCTCTTCTATGAGTTAGAATTTTTTAGATTCCATAAATAAGTAACTTCATGCAGTGTTTTTCATTCTGTGCTTGGCTTATTATTATTCTGTGCTTGGCATAGGTTACTTGGATTTTTAAATTTTACTGAGATAATTGTCTAGACATTTTCTTAAATATTTATAAGTAATACACAGTTTGTCATATCCTCAGAATCATTTGTGTGTATAGATACCACAGTTTACTCAGCTCTCCTCTAACATAAATACTATTTTGCAGTTATGTTATGATGTGCATTTTTACCAGTAACCTTTAATAGGGCTTGATTAATTCATTAGTGTTGAATTCTGGTTACTGAGACATGGAATTACAAAAACTGTTAATTACTTTTCTATTTTTACTAGTTAAATGTGGCACTTATTGAATCACAAATTATTCATCTAAAAATATGGAAAGCAGAAAAGCAACAGAAACACAATTGAGAAGACATAATTTCTGATTCTGGCAGCTAAGCATGATTTTATCCAAGATTTGGATTTACATAATTTGAGTTTTGTTTTTAAATCATGACTATTTACCAAAAAGGATCATTTTGTTTTCTAAACTGCTTTTTCTCCGCACTTAGTACTATATCATTAATATCCCTTTCTTTGTCATTAGACAGCCTTCCACAATGTAATTTTACTGCCTATTATTAAAATGACACATCTGCACAATGTGTTTAATTAATTCCCCCTTGGTGGACCTTTACTTTGTTTCCAGTGTTTCATTATTATTCAGAGTTCTGGTGCAAAAGCCCCCTGACTTTTCCCTTGGGCCCATCTCCTGTGATTTCATTAACACAGATTGCTAGGAGACCTGTTTATACAAACTATAGGAATAATTTTTAAGGCATCTTACAAACATTGCCACGTTGGGTTTTGACAGGTCATAACAAATGACAGTCACATCCAAGAAAAAGGTGTAAAAGTAAAAGGAGTTATAAAATACCATCAGGTGATTCACTGAAAATTAGCCAGAGCCCTTTCCAGAAAGCCTGTCCCCGCTTGCCCTCTCTGAGTGCAACTGTGAAGCATGTGTCAGGTGCTGTCGTTGAGTGGGAGTGCCTGTGCCTTGTTCCTAAAGCAGGAGGAGCTGCATACCCAGGGGATGGATGGGGATTTTACCGAATGCTCACACAGCGCCAGAGAGGCTCTTACAAGTCGCTGGGTCTTCCAACCTAATCAGTCTTGAATTTGTCTTCCACTAAATGTTTTTTTTTTTTTTTTGTCACTAATTATTTCAGAAAAGTTGTTGTGTTTTCTCTTTCAGGCCTCTCAGTGGTTGCAGAGGAGGCATGGTCCTGGGAGCAGTACCTTCAGGAACAGAAGGCAGTAGCTGCGCCTATTGAGCTGTTTTCCAGGGTCAGTCACTGAAACATTTCATTTTTGTAAGGCACCAACATTTAAAAGAGTTAATTGTAGTAAGCCTGTTTGCCTAGGTAGCCGGCGGACTTACCTGGATTTGTAGGCTGTGCTGGGAAGTGACCACATGTTCAGCACTTGGTATGATGGGACTGCCTGTGCATGAAGCATAGCACTACCCATTCAACCTGTATGTACCTCAGTTTCCTCATTTATAAAGTAGGGAAAGTACTTTAGCTGTGTGCTTAGGCCGTTGAGGACTGTAGTGTTATTCTTGTTAAGGATATAAGCTGCAACGTGCACATGATACACAATCAGTGTTAGTCTTTGGTAGTTGATAGTACTTGCATGTGTCTATCAAGATTGGAGGGATCCATTTTGCTCTATTGCAAGGGAGTTGTGGGTCAAGCAAGATGTTGTAGGAGAGAGTAAACCTGTTAGATCATGTCATAACTAACAAGCAAGATGCACAGAGCTTGCATCATAGAACGGGCACTTGGTTTGCCAGGCACAGGCCATGTTGCCCAACAGCTAAGCTCTGCCCAAGGCTCTAAAGCTCATGCTGTTCTTTCTCTTATTTTTTTTAAGTTTTACTGCTCCAGCGATGTTCATTTCAAATGTAATGTTAAATTTACATCATTATATTGCATTTTAAACCCCACAAGAACCCAAAACTTTACTTTTCATGATTTCTCTTGTGTTGCCTCTTGTATTTGTTATGATGCGATGGGGCACTAATTGTAACTGCATGGGGGAAGAAGTATATTAAAGAGGAAAAGAGGAGCCAAGGACTGACAATCAGTTTCCAAGAAATTATGCTACATGGGTTTTTTTTTTGTTTTTTTTTTTTTTTTTTTTGGTCTGGGAGGTTTGCTTATTTGATTAAATAGTATGAAAGGCTCTGCTGGTATAGTGGCTCTTAACCCTCTGTTTCACAGTAGATTCTTCTGATGAGATTTGGAATGCATAGGCATGGATTGTCCTAAGACCTACTGGTCAGAACCTTAGTTTCAGAGCCTTCCTTGGGTATTCTGTCTTAAAGTCCTCTACTATTGACAGTGTAAAAAAGCAAGCAATTCCTGCTTAAGTGCCGTGTCCCTGCTACCCCATATTGCAATTACCTAGTGAAACTCAGCCTGTTTGTCCACCAGACACATGTATTCCTTAAATAGAGGGGATCTCTGCCACCTTTCACCCATGTCTGCCCATAGTGCCTGGGTGGGGGAGCAGGCTTGGGTGACCAGTTGTGTTCAGTAACTTCAGGGAAATTGATCTTAGTTCTCTGAAATGGTCTTTAAAAGGCTTGCCTTGGACCAGGGCAATATGGGGTAACTGGTTGGCCCTTTTCCCCCCGGGTTCAACTTGCATCCTTCTTATAGAGTCACTACTACAGTTCTGGATGTGGAGTGGGTCAGAGCATGAGCTGCCTATGGCTTGTCATAACATTCTATGGACAGCTAGATCCTGGTTGGGTCCATGCAAAGGATACATGGGAGACTGTCGGCTTGATAGTATTGTAGTCTAGGGTCTGATGGTTGCCAGCATCATAAAGAGGCAAAGAAAGTGAGTGCAGTTGGAACTGTCATGTTCCAAGAGTCGGATTTCTGCTGCTTCCTCTCATCAGATCACAGGGCAGGCAGCTTTTCTTACCTCCACCCAGATTTTCATCAGGTATTTGAGTGTGAGGTGAAGTGGTTGACTTCTCTGAGCAAGATGCAATTTTGGCTGAGGTATCGAAGTATTAGATTCCTGTTACCTGCTGCATCACCCTTTATCTCTGCCAACCAGTATATTTACTTTATGCTCAGAATTTCCCCTTTAGGATCCTTTAAGGTTCATCAACCAGTTCAAAAACACCTGCACAAAAGCAATTTCTGAGAATTTCTCTCATAGCTTGATGTGGACTAAAAGCCACTATGGGGCTGATGTGTGATGCTGCTCTCTGAAGTGAACCCTTATGGTGAGGCTGGGTTTTAGTTCTGGGGTGTGGCTCACAGGGCTTTCCCTTGACATCAGAGAGAGGACATGGAGGGGTCAGAAAGCACTTAGCAGGAGAAAGGCAGCCTCGATTCTGGGGCTGGGCAAGCTGTCTGTGCAGGGTATGGAGAGTGGGAGAGTTGGCGACACATGTGGAGAGGGTCAGGGAGTGGGAGATGTCCTCTTGCATGGTTTCTCAGCTAGTAACAGGCTTGAAACTATGTCTTCAGCAAGCGTTCGAATCTAAATATTTATTGGTTCCAAATGTAGGAGCAACATGTTAGCTATGAGAAAACAAGAATGTGACTAGTAGCCTGCTTCTTTTCCTCACGATCAGTCACGCTGAGTGTGTTGCTTAAGGCTGTGACTGTGTTGAGTGATGCACAGACCCACACTGATACCACACAGTGTGTGTGCCTCACTTGCTTAGACTCTGGCCATCTATTTGGGGCAGAAAATATGCTCATGAAAGCACAGTTACAGCAGGAAAGGGAGTATCATTTGACAGTGGAGTGGGCAAAAAATAACTCCCTCCTCATCCTGTGAGTGAGATAAGGCCTTCTGTGACCCTGAGCAGGGAGAAGATTCTTGTGCTCCAGATTCAGGATTACACTAAGTTGGCATTTGTATTTTGAGGTGAAATAGTATGGTTTATTGTTGAAAGTATTCTTCCATGTAACCGAAAAGGCAGGTAAGTACTTCCCTTCCAGGGCGGGTGTGACTCTGGGCTCTGTGCAGCTCGTGTTCTTTTTCCTTTGTAAATCCTGCAGTGACACTGTATAGGGCAGCCACCTGAGACAGTTCACACTGCAGTGCTAGAAAGGAAATTTAAGATAGCTCGCTTATCTGGAGTAGAAAGCTATGCCAAAGAGATTAAGGTAATATTCCACTTTGAATGTGTAGTTTCCATCCTATATTCAAGTGTTTGAAGACTATGTGAAAGCCGCACACACACGTGCACGCATACATGTGCACACACATCATATGTACACATCCACAGTAAATTCTGTCATGCAAGGCAGATGTTTTCCACTGAGAAATTCTGTGTGTATTTTTAAAGAGTATTATATCAGTTTGATTTATACATAAGGTTGTTTTGCATCTGAATGGGTCTGTTTTGGATTTCTTTCAACACAAGGAAAAGTTAAGTGTTTTTTAACTTTTGTAATTTATTTTACCATCTGGGGTAATGAGCATAGAAGGATGCAAATACCGTATGTTGACACAGTAAATGCAAAAACATTTTTTTCTCCATGACCTGTGGCTTGTGTCTGTGTTGATTTGATTTAAAATATGAATTACCGGACTTTAGTTGTTGTTCAAAGTTGCGGAGAAGAACTTTTTTCTATCCCTGCTCACCAGTCCTCTTACCTTCACACGAAGCTCTCCAGTGTGATTCTTTTCGCCCTGTTGCTCATCATATCAAGTTCTGGAAGGCTGCTATGGGGCCCCAGCTGCAGGCTTGCACAGACAAAGCTGCTGCTTGGCTGCCAGGTCGGCCCCCATGTGGCATTCTTGACCTGCCCTGAAGGCCTTTGGGACGCTCTTGCTCTTCCTCTTGAGGTGCGCCCTTCCCAGGCAGCTTTCCCAAGCCTGTCCACTCTGACATAACAGCAGGTGCTGGCTGGGTAGCTGCCTACCTGCCTACATGAGGGTGAGGGCTTGGGGCAAAGCAAGAGTCACAGGGAGACAGGAGGTAGTTCTTATGTGTTTGGCCATGAACGGCACCTGGAGCTCCATCTTCAGAGCCACTGAACTCTGGCCAGTCACACCTGCACTGCCTGGCTGTGGCACAGAGGTGTAGCCAGTCCCATCATCTGCAAGATGGGCAGCTTGTGGCTATCTCTCTGTGTCATTAGCCTGGACTCCTTTTCTCTGACAGCAGCTCTAAACTCTCAGGCCTCCTTTTCCCTGACCTTGGGAACCATAACTGTCCTGGAAACTATGATGAACCTGCAGCTTTGGCCTGCCTACCGATACTCACGGCCCTAGTCCTGTCTCTCTGCAGTGTGTTGGAGGAATCTACCCTCCCTGGTTCCATCAGCCTTTCTCTGACTCTGGATCCGGCCATTGCTGCATTTCTAGGGTTCTCCCCCTGCAATTTATCAGCTGTGACCTTGAAAAGTTTCTTCTTTGGGGCCAGTGCTGTGGCTTTTGTGTTAAGTTGTCTCTTGCAGGGCTGACATCCCATAATGGCACCATTACTAATCCCAGCTGTTCCAGTTCCAATTCAGCTCCTTGCTGATGCACCTTGGAAAGGCAGTATAGGATGGTCCAAGTGCTTGGACTTCTGTACCCTGCATATAGAAAAGGAAAGTTTCTTCTCTGTGCATCTTGCCTTTTAGATAACAGATGTGCTTAGATGTCTTCACTTACAATATTTTTGTATTAAAATCAGATTCACACAGAGAAAAAGAGAGGGAGGGAAGGAAAGGGAACAGTGAAATCGTCCATCTGCTGATTTCTTCCCAATATGGTTGTAATGGATATATACAATGTACATTCCCAATATGGCTGAAACTTCTGAGTTTCCCATGTGGATGCAGGGACCCTAGAACTTGGGTCATCCTTTGTTGTCTTTCCAGACCATTAGCAAGGAGGTGGATTGAAAGTGGAGCAACCAGAACTCAAACCAATATCCATATGGGATGCTAGCAGCACAGGTGGAGGATTAAGCTACTAACCACAGTATACTATGGCCCCTCAAAGTCTCTTCTGCTTTTAAGAAAACAGTCACCTTGGGTTCTGTGGCCCTCCTCTCACATCCATCTCCCTGTCTCAGTCTAAAGTCCTGAAATCTTAGGTGGCATTTTCTTTCCTCTTGGTTTTTCTCACCTTTTCTACCCATTGCCTCCTCCGTCTGGCCTTTCCTCTCCCCTCTGCTGAACCTGTCCTGCAGAAGTGACTTTCAGGATGTCACAAGTAGATCCTTGGACTCCCATCACTGGCATTACTGCCTACTCCTGGTCTCTGATTGTGTTTCCACTCAGACATTGTCTGATTCAGCCCATGTCTCTTTCCTC